TTTTGGTTATCTTTTGCAAGACTCTTGTAATTCTTAAATGTAATCACTGCCGTTAACATAATCTATCACGAATTTTCTTGAATCCTACTTGAGTAAGCTAGAATTTATCGTTAACATTGCAAAGTTAAACTCTCATTAATCTCTAACGTGCAATTCATGTTTCACCGCATGTTGTTTCACATCATTTATATTTATGCATGAAAGAAATAAAAATTTGCTAATAAATTGTGAACAATTTAATAAACTATTGACAAGCTACTAGCAAATCAATTAATTCTTAACAAACTATTAAATTACTAACATTGTTTATAAATTAATGGCATTGAATAATCCCAATAAAATAATGAACTTATATGATTAAAAGTAAAATTAACATCCATGGAAAAATAGAAATTCAGTACATCACTTTGTGTTATTCATCAAATGTATCCTAGTATTGCATTTTATCTAATATAATTTTCTTTTCTTTACCTGGCCCTTGCAATTTTTTAGGAACCTGATTATCATGATGTTTAGTCATGCTAGTTTTGTATTATTGTTTTGTTTTGAGGTTTTCTTCTTTGGTGGGTAACGGCAATGCATAAGATCAGAGAATCTTGATTCAGTATAAGTTTATCTCATCTTATTCGGAACCTGTTAGTAACTGTTTGTTGAATTTTCTTAAAACCTTCTTTTGGTGCATCCTTAACTTTTGATACTTAATATTATGGCAAATGACAAACAATTAGTGGATTTTGTGAAAAGATTGTATGTTGTCTTTCTTCTAAACTTTAAAATGATGTGGAGTCCACCGAAGATAATGAATGGGTCAGATTTATTCAATGAGCTTGAGATCCATTAATTTAGTGTTTTAGGTGCTTCCATGGAAGCCCTTTGTAACAGCTTGTTTTGATGAATATCTATTTCATTATCATCTGCACTTGAAATGCTGCATAAATGCTATGGCCAAAGCATTTTACCTATTAATTTAGTCTTTTAAACTATTCTTACAAAGGTGCTAAAATGGAATGAAATAACCTATTCTTGGTAGAATGGAAATCCATGGATAAAATAAATAATTCATTTGAAAAACTTCTAGAACTACAACTGTGGGAATACCCTAGATATTGCTAATATGCATTATTCCCTTATGAGGAAACTGCAGCCAGGAGATTAGGATGAAACTGCCAGCAATCTTCCATACACGCCAACCAATTCCTTAGATAGAAATGCCAGACTGAGTGCCCATCTAGGGTGGAACTGAGTATTTAGTAGTTGCTAATAAATTTATTCTTTTACATCTAGAAGAAGAGTCGCAGTAGGTAATAATAGGAAAACAGTTGGCTTTCCAATTTGAGAAGAGTGGTAGCAGGGAATAATAGGAAAACAGTTGGCTTTCCAATTTGAGAAGAGTGGTAGCAGGGAAATAGAAAAACAGCAGTTGGGTTTCCAATCTGAGAAGAACATCATCCATTAGGAAATGAATGCAACCTGTTCTTAGCACTCTTTTCAAGCTGGGTTGTATACATCAACAATCCAAGCTTTTCTATCATTTTTTTCAAAAAAGGGTTTTTACCAATCCTTCTGTCAGGATATCTGCAATGTATGAAATACACAGATCCCCATTTTCAGTTTTTTTTTTCAATAATATGTTGATCTACCTTCACATGTTTAGTTTGCTCATGACTGATAGGGTTGTAGGCTATGTTGATATTTGCCTTATTTTCATTATGTAACATCATAAGAGTTTTGTCAGCAACTTGGAATTCTTCTTGGCGTTAGTTAAGCTATTCACTAATCCCATTGACAAGGTATTTTAGTTTAGCTTCTACATGATTCCTTGCTTCAGCATTTTACTTTTAGCTTCTACATGGTACTAGATTGCCCCTAACACAAGTACAATTTACTAGCATTGATATTTTGCCAACCATAGAACTTTCTCAATCAACATCGTTATAACCTCCTACCTTTTGGTATTCTCCTTTTTTGAATTGTAGCCCCCTTCCTTGGGCTCTCTTTCTAGTGCTTTCATATGTATAATACTTTTTACAGGCCCTTCATAAGTACATGCATTAACTAATGTTACTAATTGTAAGGATGATGTATGTTATGGTTTGATTTAAATAAATGAGTTTTGCTACCATTCTTTGGTATCTTTCTTTATCAACATGAGAACCAGTGCTGGTCATTAAGGATATTTATGCATGAGTTGTTACTTGTGTTCAAACACAAGGTGGTTTAACCAAGTATTTTCGTATTGCAACTGAATTACATCAAGGATCAGCCTTTGGTCATGGTTTAAGCCCATATATTTTTGCTTTAGTCATGGATTTTCTTACTAGACATTTGGAAGAGGATGTACCGGGGCGTATGCTTTTTGCTGATGATATTCTTCTTGTTGATAAGATCAGAGATGGAGTTGAAGGTAAACTTGAATTATGGAGGTCAATCTTAGAGTATAAAGGTTTTTGTTTGAGTAGATCTAAAACCAAATACATGGTTTGTAATTTTAATAGTAATAGATCTAGTGGGGGGTTTGTGACTTCAAACTATCAAGTCATTACTAAGAGTACATGTTTTAGATATCGTGGGTCTATTGTTTAGAGTGATGGTGAAATAGACGGGGATATTATTAGTAGAGTTCAAGTTGGTTGGTTGAAGTGGAGGAATGCATTGGGCTTGTTGTGTGATAAAAGAGTACCACTCAAACTTAAGGAAAAATTCTATAAGATGGTGGTGAGACCTGCAATGCTTTATGGCGCAAAATGTTTGCCATTAAAAGAGAAGCATAATATTAAGTTAGGTGTTGCAAAGATGAGGATGCTCAGGTGGATGAGTGGGCTTTACCCCTAGAGATGGGATACGAAATGAGCGTGTATGTGAAAAGATTGTAGTAGCTTCAGTGGCAGATAAGATTGCAGAGAGTCGCCTTAGATGGTTTGGTTACACAAATGAGCGTGTATTTGGTCACATACATCTACTCCAAGTTAGAAGAGTAGATGTATTAGATTTGGCCTATGTTAAGAAAGGAAGAGGTAGACCTAAAAAGATTTGGTTAAAAAATATTAGAAATGACCTTTTTTATTAGATTTAAATGAGAATTTGACTCTTAACGTGACACAATGGAGGAAAGGGATTTATGTGGCCGACTCAGTGGGATAAAGGCTTGATGTTGTTATTGTTGTATGCTTCCAAACTAGAGATGTTAGCAGTAGTTAATAGAATTATTCCTTTCTATCGTCAGAAGAACTGCAGCAGGGAATAACGGGGCAATAACTGGTTTTCTAAATGGAGAAGAATTGTACTAGGGAATTAAAATTACTAAACTGATTTTCCAATTTGAGAAGAACTGCAGTGAAGGTTAACTGCAGCTGGTTTTTAACCGATGCAATAAAAGGAAATTTTTTGCCTGTATTATTCTTTGGTATGCTGCACATTTTGCACTAGAAGTTGGTTTGAAACTTAATTTAACTTACCATGTCCTGCAAATTTATAAGTGCATTACTGCTGTGAAAAAGATGTTAAGAAATGGTTAAATATGAACGGGAGTGGTGCTTAACCACCTGATCTAATCTCCTTTTCCAGTCTTTTTTTTGCTATTTATTTGTTTTTTCTACTTCATCTTTGTTAATGTTGTGTAAATAACAGATTTTGTGCTTTTTACTTTGTTTTCTTTTCATTAAAGAATGCTATTCATGCCCATTTTTCTTTAAATTTTGTTTGGCTAGTAGTTACTCCCTATATTGTAGAGAATTCATGTATAACATCGTTAGCCTTTTCTTCTTTCAGTTGGAGATCTATGATGGTGAGACTGCTGAAGGTATTCCCTTTTATCTATATGCTATCGCATACATTAATCAGAACAATTATTTTCCATTTTTAATTAGAAGACCCCTTAGGGACTATTTGGTTGCAAGTAGAGTTACATAAAGGAGGCTTTGGATTTAAATAAGAGAATTAGCTTTTGCTGTTGTGTAATCCGTGGTAACTCTTTGAGCTATTTGGTATCCAGCTAAATATAAGTGGTTTAGATAATAGGTTTGAGTTAATTATTTTTCTTCATGTGTGATTAGATATCAGTTAAATATTTATGATGCTAATTTCTGTAGTGAGTGTTTAGTTTGAAAGAATGTTGCCTTGGTTATGGTATAAGTAGCAAATATGCAACATATTACAGAATTAATGATTATATAAAAACAAGATGAGTTAATAAAGCTTCTAATGTTTGGTAGTTATGTCATCAACTAATGATTTAATATTCATAAAAGGTCGAATAATTATTTGTCAAATTGTAATGTAACATTGTTTTTTATACTTTATTTTTTAGATTAATTATTTGACAATTAATTAATAAATCATGTTATTAATTGTCACTTTAAATATAATTCGTGATTAATGTTATCAATTACTATTACTAGCTTACATTAGCTATTGGGAGATATCGAGTTTTTTTTGGCCTTAAACTTTATTTTGATTTTTACTATAGCTGAATTTAAATTGAGTCAAAAGTGATTTATTTTGAGCTGATTGAAGTTGATTCTAAGTAAAATCTATAGAGTTTGTAAATATCAATCATTAAAAAGGCGGACGTCCACCTTAAGGCGCGCTTTGATTCGAGGCGGAATTCTCGTGCATGGAGTCGTAAGCCTTAGCTGTTCAAGTGAGGCTTACGATTTTTTGGACAGGGCATATGCTTTGTGGTGGAATGCCTCGAGTTGAGGCATCGCCTCGTTCGTTTTTATTTGCTTAAACTTACACGAATATACGAGTATAAGATGTTTTAGGGAGTAGCTTTATTTCGACTTTGGCTAAAGTAAAGTTGTGCATCGTATGCTTCATCTTCCATCCACAACACTCCTGTTGAGTTCCTACGCCTCCTTCGACAACAACACTACTGTTGATTCGTAAGGTTGGAGTGGTTTTGTCATCAACTAATGATTTAATATTCATAAAAGATCGATAATTATTTGTCAAAGTGTTTATAATGTAACATTATTTTTTATACTTTATTTTTTCAATTAATTATTTGACAATAATTACTAAATCATGTTATTAATTGTCACTTCAAATATAATTCATGATTAATGTTATCAATTGCTATTACTAGCTTGCATTAGCCATTGGGAGATAACAAGTTTTTTTTTGCTTAAAACTTTATTTTGATTTTGACTAGAGCCAAATTTAAATTGAGTCAAAAGTGAGGTATTTTGATCTGATTGAAGTTGGTTCAAGTAAAATCTATGAAGTTTGTAAATACTTGTCATTAAAAAGGCGTTAGAGGCGTCCGCCTTGAGGCTTGCTTTGATTCGAGGCGGAACTCTCGCGCATGGAGGTGTAAGCCTATGCTGTTCAAGCGAGGCTTACGATTTTTTTGGACTGGGCATACGCTTTGAGGAAAAATGCCTTGAGGCTATTTCAGGCTCCTCTTCCGTTTAATTGTTTATTTCCTTAAACTCGCATGAATATGCGAGCATAAGATGTTTTAGAGCGTAGCTTTATTTCGACTTTGTCTGAAGTAAAGTTCTGCGTCTTTTGCTTTGTCTTTCGTCAACAACAATCCACTCGAGTCGAATCGTAGCACCTCCTTTGGATTCTTCTCTGCTATTCCTCATTCCTTTTATCTTTTCTAAGCTGTTTGAAGATTTAAAATATTGTCATCGAAATGGATCCAACCGCACATTTTTACACTTAAAGAGGCATAATATTTTCTAGATGGTCATGCGGATCTTGTGTTCTCCTTTTCTTGGTGTGTGGGACGGAAGTAGGTGGTGGGAGTTTGGCCTTTCTACTAACTGCTAATGGTTGGCAGATAGTCATAACGGGATCAGTGGTTTTATTCTTCTATTTAAAGGTAATTTTGCAATTATGAATTACAAAGCTGCTGATAATTGATAGCATAGCATCCTTCAACTCTTTAATCTAAAAAGTGAGCTGATTGGGTTTATCAACTTTTGATGCAGTTTGTGTTTGAACAAATCAACTTTAGGATTTGATACAATTACTTGGATGTATTTGTAAGATTTCGTAGTCATATGGTTGTTTGAATCATGAAAATGTTCTTATGAAACTTGTCGAACAATCATGACATGAATCACTTGAAATTTGTCAATATAAAACTTGTCGAACAATCATAACATGAATAATTTAATACATTGTATAAATGTTAGGGCATTACCCTCAATAGTAAAGCTAAACTGAGGCTTCATATTTATAGTGCTCATTTTTTTAATTTTTTACCTAAACTGTAGTAATGAAGCAGCGCAATGGTACTACAACCCGGTCTTAAGATTCCATATCTGATGAACATATTTTGAATTAATTTTTATTGTCATTGCTGCAGGAGCTGTGGAGAGCAATGCTGCTGCTGCTAGGAACACAACTAACAAAACTGAATTGAAATCAGCTTCCAAGAAAAGGAAGCAGTTGGAGGATCCACCTGAAGAGTATGAAGAGGAAGAACATGATAGTGATGACTATAAAGATGAGGTTAACGGTGAATCTGTTAGTACAAGGAGTAAACGAGGTGGGAAACGCTCCGGCAGGGGCCGCGGCAACCGCGGCAAGGGATCAAAAAACATAGCTGCAGAGGCTAAGAGTTCTGGTCGAGGAAGGGGACGTCCCAAGTCTGATGACAAAGTCTTCTCTGGTCGTGGTAGGAAGAGAGCAAAGAGCAGATGATCTAAAGCTCAGGTAAGGTAAAGAGTAGATGTTTGGTTCTTATTAAACTAATTTGGTTTAGGTTTAAACAACTCGATTTGAATCATTTAGAAATTTTCTTTTTCTGCCTAACTATAATTCTTACTGCTTTTTAATGAGTCAGAATTTCTTCACTTTTTTTTTTATTTGGACAGCCATACTACATTATGCTGTATAATTCCTCACAGATGTATCTTACTTCTGATCTTTAGGAACTATTTTCCTAACATTTAAACTGATATCTTGATGACTAATATATTTAGAGCTTGCTTTTTCACTGAAGCCAGCCTTTTGAAGGAAGTTGAAGCGTTACTGGGTTTTGATATTTTCATGTTCTTATATATATATATTCTATTTATTGGGCATATACGAGTAAAGGTATTTTTTAAATTTTAATCGAGTTTTGGTATTTTGCTTTTCATTAATTTTTTGGAGTCTTTTAATAGATGCAGTAGTTTTGATTAGGGGTGTCAATTTCGGGTCACGGGTCGGGTTCGGGTCGAACCCGAACTGACCCGAGTTCAAACGGGTCAACCCTAACCGGACCCGGGTAGACAAACGGGTCGAAAAACCGAACCCGGACCCGACCCGGCGGGTTGCCGGGTTGACACGACCCGACCCGGTTTGGGTGGCCGTCGCCGGAACCGCGGCGGCCGACGGCGGCGGACGCGAGGTCCCATAAGTCTAACGGGCGATCTGTAAGCAATGTTTTTATCAATCTGGGTTTGAACCATATTTATATTAATATTGTGTTCTATGGTTTTTTGCTTTTTGGTTTAATTTGGATTACTAAAGTTTATCAGAATTTATCACGAAATTTCGATCATAACTTTTTTATTTATTGTTATAATGAAAATTTTTAATTTTTTTGCATTTGATTGTGCAAAACTTTTTATTACAAAATAATATAATATTGAACTTGTTTAATGTACATATTTTTTATAAATATAAAATCCGTGTATCAGAAATTTAAATACCTAAATAATCATAATTCTTTTATATTTTCATGACCATAAATAAATTCAAATCAATGGCAACCTTTGCTCGAATCATGACCATATTGAGAAAATAATATATATATAATCTCAAAGTACCCTTAAAAGTGCCATCCAAATTTATAAAATAAACGTTAGAGAAATGGGAGATTTATATGCTTATCACCATTTTATTAATATAATTAATACCCAAGTTAAACAGATTTATTAAATTTTAAATTAATTATTGAGTATAAATATTGATAATCTTACTCTGATTTTTTGAGATTTGAAAGCTATAACATAACTAATTATTATTTTTACAAATATGCAGTTTTTGTCAGTGTCCCAGCTGTGTAAATTTTATTTATAGGGCATAATCTGTGTTGTTGCTAGGTTTAACCAAAATTGATATTGTAGATGCACAGATATGTTCCTTTTTTCTTGTTTGACATCTCTTCATAATAATAATAAAAAAAAAAAAAAACAAACTCTTGAAGTATCTTAACAAGTCAAGTCGCCATGATAAGTTATAGTAAACTACAGAATATAATTAAGTAGCATAAAAAAAAAAAAATTATAGTATCAAATAATTCAACATTAACATAACATACACAAGAAATTAAGAACATTAATATACTTATCTATGCACAAAAGTACTAAACCTGTTCATATACTCCTATGTAATATTGCATCATATGGGGAACTAACAAACTGGACATCAACATATATCAGAAGAGAATCTACAACAACTACACACGCTTAGCTTTAATAAGACTTCGTTTGAGATGGCTTTTTAACTGCTTTTTTAATTTTTATACTAAAAAATTTTTAAGAAACAATAAGAAAGCCGTTCCAAACGAAGCCTAAGCATATTATATCTACCAACCGAAGGCCTTTGCAAGCATAGAAAAGGTGGGCCTGCATCATCAATGCATTGGCATCTTTGAAGAATTAAAGAAGAGAGCAAGAGAATACCATGGTGATTAATTTGTGTAAAATTGCGACTCGTGTTCTGGCTAACGATCTTCTCGCCGAACTCTATTTGGATCAGATACCATGTCCATCATCATTTTCTCCGGCGAATCTTCCCAACTACCAAAAGTTTTCAGATCAACCTGCACATTTTGAAAGAGAGCAGCAAATTCTAGTTTAAGCACAATTTTATGCTGGAATTTGACTAAATAAAACATAAATTTTGAGCATGGTAAATGTAATCAACCGACCTTACGCCTTTGTTCTGTGAACAGATTTTCCCTTTTCTTAAATGTATCGTGCTGCTCTTTTGCTGAGCTCCCACCAAAAGCCCATACCTCAGCCTCTACTAATGAAGCTTCAACAGCTAAGTATCCCTAAATCACAGAGAGGTATGCAGCATTTGTTAATAACAAATATTGCAGGCTATGTTGCACCGATACGGATATGGCGACACGGATACGACATGATACAGGTACGGAACATATCAATTCTTAAAAATATAGGATATGGGTACGGCGCGGACGTGACATTATAATTTATAAATCATACATAAAAATTAAGAAAATAATCAAAGCATAATATTTAAAATTATAAAAAAATGAAAGTAACATCTTTTGTAGATTATCAACATAAAAGTATTAAATGTCTAGTACAACAATAAAAGCATAAGCATAAATTGTCTAGCACACAAAATTTCAACTATTCAATAGAAGGAATGATATGACTTCTTCAATGGTTTATCTTTGAACTTCTATATCATCTTCAATAAACATCATAGTTTCTAATTCAGGTAAATTAAGTGAAAGATTAATAATTTCTAATAGTCCTATATCATCAAGAGACTCAAATCCATCTTGGAAATGATAGAACTAGCTCGCAGTCGCGGAAGTAAATACAATGGGTCCTTTTTTTTGGATTTTTTTTTTTAACGTACACGCGTATCGGATACGCATGTCCTTTTGAAATTAAATAATATTTTAATTGAATACGGAAAAGCGGTATCCAACATGTATCAGTGCCGTATCGGAGGCGTATCCGTGTATCGGTGTATCGGATACACCACGCCTTCATAAATAGGTGTATCGGTGCAACATAGATTGCAGGATATTTCAATCATATAGGCAACCAAGACAATTGTGCAAAAAAATATGAATACCATATCCACAAGGATTAACAATCATCAATAGGCTGCTCATAGTTCTCTGTTGATAAAATTAGTTGGTTGATTTTACCTGATTAGGTATAAGGGAGCCGTGTTGATAGGTTTTGTCAACTGCGTGATGTCGAATTACTACTCTCGAAAAATCCTCGTCAATGAAGATCCTCTCATTCCCTCTAGTTCCTCCAAAGGCCAAACCAACAGGTTTTGGATTTGCTTCATAAACCCTCCCAGTAGGATGCACGTGGCTGTAGAGGAAATTCTTCTCCTTCCCTGATTAGTGGCAACTTAACATTATTAGCCTTAGAAAGAAATGGTACACTGTAAAAGGTAAAACTAACGCATACCAGTAGGAGAAAGAACACGAAATACTGGAGAAATGGCATAAAGATGTGCAGAAGTTCCATAAAACATGTCACTATTCTGAAATCCATTTTCAGTTAATACTCCAACCACCCATCTTCTTGTGCTGCTTTTATCATCACTGGAATCTGCTAAATTACCGGAGAATAGGAACAGCAATGGCCCATGATAACCTTCAACTATGGACCAAAACCTACTCAAACCCTTCCCATGAGTAGACGACCTGCAAGTTAAAAATGTCGGGTACAAATTTAGTAAGGTATAATCCATTTATGAAATCAGAAATCAGCTATCTCAAAAGTGAAAAAGATAGTAACATAAAGAAAATCAATTTATAGAAGAAAATAATAACACAATGAAATATGAAGTCTGTTTTATAAAGGACTAAAAGTTTCAAACAATGATCATGCATTCAATTTATAAATTGTCTGTTCCTGGATGAAAGTGGAAGAAACTACTAATTTATTTCAGGCATTTCAGATCATCTACCAACAAGTTATTCTTATGATTTAGCATCTTATAAGATATAGTATCATTTTCTACTATATTATACATGCAATATTCTAAAAAATAGTATTAACTTTATGTTAGGCCGGCCCCCCGGCCTAGGAGGGGCCGGCTGAACTGGTGCAACTTGGACCGGTTCACTTCTACGACCGGCGGCCCAAGCCCAGGGGGCGGAACCATGGGGGAGGGGAGGATGCCCTAGTGGGCCCAAGAAATTAATTAAATGGTTGTTTAGGAGGGAAATTTGAATTAGGGGTTGTTTAGGAATTTTGTAGGTTTCCTTTGGCTTCAATTAGTCTTTTTGGGCTAGGGTTTGGGGCATCTTGAATTGGAAAGAGATTTGAGATCTAGGTTTTGTTCTTCTTGGGCTCTAGGCTTTGCTAGAGATTTGGAGAGTTATTTCTTCCTCTTGAATCGAAGAAACTTGTATCTTGAATTGCTTTTCTTGTTCGTAGAGTGAATAGAAGAAGTTCCCTTGTGTGTTCTTCCAATTTTTCTAAAATTCCTGCATCATATTGCTGATTTCTCTCTGAAATCAGCAGTTTTCTCGCTATTTTCACCTATTGTTGTTAGGTTTGCTTGCGAACTCAAGTATTTTCCTTAGGGGTGCTTGCGAACTCAAGTACTTCCTATCACTTTATTACGCGAATTCAATGAAGAGTTTCCATTTTGGTTTCAAACAATCTGGAATTCAACCCAAAGAAAAATGAAGTCGTTGGTTCATTGGAGCAAAACAAGTAATTGGCATCAAATTGAAGTGAATGATTGTAATTTTGGTCAATCAAGAATGGGTTGGTGTCTACTGATGTCAATCCACTCGGGATGGTAAGTACTTCAGATTGCTTTTTTCCTTGCTCTTTCCCAATAAGCATCTCCATCACCAAGGAAGCTAAAAAAGGTATGCTTCCTCTAATATATCTACTTTTTCCCAAACACTATTCATATTGACTACTTGATAAATTTGTAGCATTGCACAACTTCTATACGACTACAAATTGTATTAAAAGAAGCTTCAAAGCATAGTTGCAGTAAATTTTAAAATGAAATCATGTTAAGAAATTCATTGATTGCTATCGTGTCCTATATCCAGTTTTCGATCACCTGTGTAAAGTTTTTAACTGATAAAAGTAAGCTAAACATTGAACCATAGAAACAGGCTACTTAGAAGTCATGTCATACCACAAGCACAATGCTATATCGTAAAATTAATGAGCATGCTACCATGGAGCCCTCAACAAGAGTTAATGGAGAAGCAGATTCATAAAGCCATCACCGTATAAATAAATATATCACCTACGTAACATATACCAAAGAATAAACGTAAATGCTATTTAAAAGTTGGGTGATCCACAGAAGGATGGCAAAGCAAACCTATATAGAAGGTTGTTGAGCTTGTGGTCCAATAGTCCTGGAAAGGATGCCGCAGAAAGTTCTTCACCTAGAGTACCTTTTTCTGTAAGTGAAATTGCCCATGCCCTTCCAAATGTCAGAAGGAAACTATCATTGTAGTTCGTTGAGGAACCACTGCATCCTGATTGGTTGGATTTGATTGAACTTTTCTATGAGTTGAAAACGTATTAGAGCACAAAGCAACAAAGTGATCTGCATTCTTTTATTTAAAACATACTTTCATTAGATCTTACATATTGGATAAGCGGGTGTTCGACAAATCCATATGAATATTATTCAAATTCATCTAAGCTAAAATACAGAAAAGGTATTAAACTGTTAAGGTAACAAAAGAAAGTCAAGCGTAAGTAATATAAAATTATCAAGGCGTTTCTATTTAAATTGAAATCGAGATTATGGCATTTCAATTGAAACGAAACAACGTAATTACAAATACTGGGGAAAAAATAATCTAATAATTGCATATGATTTGATGGAGATTTCCAACCAATTACGCCTTTTGTTTTCAATGGTGGAGCCAGAAATTTTTTTCAGCGGATACCTAATTTTTTGTACAAATCCCTAGATGCCGCTAGAGCCCAAAAACCTAAAACCTAAGAGATCTCAAATTTCAGCCAAATTCAAGATGTCCTAACCTTAGGAAAACAAATTATTTAATGCATAAAATTCAAAAGGAAATCTATAAACAATCCCTACATTCAAATTTCCCTCCTAACTCCCTCAAAAATCCTTCCTAAATAACTATGTTGAAGTGGGCGGATCGTTCGGCGCGTACAGGAGAGGTGGAAGAGTTCGTCTATTTCGCCCATAAGCCGGTTGGGTATGGGCCGGCTGGACCGGTCCAGTTGACATGTCTAATAGTTTACACCCAAACATTCCCTTGTAATTGTTGATAAACCTAAGATTGAATCCAAACCAATGTAGCTCACTGCTATTGTAGAGCCACATCAAATGTCACCAAAAGAGGATCCACATTTTTCCAACATCGTTTCTATCTTCAATATCAATCATTGCTACTCAATTCATACTTCCACTTCAACCGCAAAAGCTATAACCTGAGATTTTACCCAAATCAAAAGATTGCTCATCTGATTCTTCTCCTTACTAGATATTTAATGAAGTTTGTACTAATATCTACAACAGTAAGAGTTGAGATGATTGATTTCACTGGCCATTTGGATATTTTGCCATTGCCTCCACTAAAATCTGCAGGTCTTTGTCTCGAAGAGCTACTTGCATTTTATCATGTTGATTACAATACTATGCATAAGCCACCTGTACTTCCACCACCACAATGAATACCTTTCAATCTTCGGTGTAGAGTTTTTTTTAGCTCGAGTGAACGATTAAGGACAAATATGATCGAATTATTTTCCATATCAACTAATAAGCATAAGTTCATTTAGTTTTACCATACTTTAGCGTTTATATAAAGTGTTCTACACTTGTCATGGAGACAACTGTTTCTTCTTCTTCCTCTTCTTCTTTTGTGTTTGTGTTTGTGTTTCAACAATAGGTCTATATTCATTGCCATATATAAGGTACTGGAATAAAATGATAATTTCTTAAGCATGTTTTTTTCATATAAGCCGGCATTTCGAATAATTTAGCAGAATAAAGCGAAGCAAATGAATAAATGATGTCAAAAGATAACAAATGAAACTCTCTGTTTCGATCGCAGTTTGCATCCACTTGAGTATCAACCCCATTGATTTCATACAGAAAAAAAAAATCGAATTTCTTATCATGCGCTCGATACAAATCTAAACAAAGAAAAGCAAATGCTACTTAAAAGTAGAACACGCATTATCACAACTCAACATACCGGTGAAACAGCGACATATTTGATCTTCTCTCTCAAAAATTGGGAGAAGCAACTCGCTAGCCCAGGCAACGTCGCCAAAATCCACCCATTCAACTTTTGCACCGCCACAATCTTCCGCTCCCCCAACCCATCCAAACCCCACACACTTTCATCGCCCCCAACCTCGCTACAGGCCAAAAAGGCAGATAGCACCAGATGGTTCAAATCGGGAAGCACCAGCTCTACCCCTTTCCCCCACATCGACAACCTCGAACTCTGTTCCATTACCCAACACAACCACAGAAACATCAGCATATCGTTCAGCCCGAACGTCCCTCTCACCTTCCCGACATCAGCATCTTCCAAATCGAACTCCAGCCCGCAACCGATCCCAGCTCTCCTGCACACATCGGAGAAGATTCTGTAGAGGGTAATGAGGGAGGAAGATGCGGACATGCGAGCGCAACAGCGATTGAAGCCGCGGAGAAAGGTGGTCCAATCGGTGGTATCGTTTACGGTGGCGAAAAGGAAGTCTGCAGCTGCGGCGCCGAGATGGGGAAGGAGGAGGGAAAAGTTGGAGGTGAGGTGAGGAGAGGGAAGTGTCAGGTTTAGGGTTACGGAAGGGATCGAGAGGGATTGATAGAGGGAGGAAAGGGGGATGGATTGGGATTGGTGGTCGGAGAGGTTGGCGAATGCGGATTTGAGAAAGGTAAGTGATCCAGTAGAAGCGGCGAGTGATTCTTGCTCCTGCTGCTCGGCCGATGGCCGGCGGTCAGTTGAAGCGGCTGATCCCATCGGTCAGTCCTTTTTGTGAGAGGCTTGGATCGGAAAAGTTGATAATTGGAGACGTTCATCGCGACTTGTTTTTAACCTGCAAAAGAACACAGCTCACCTTAGACCTGTTGGTTGAGAGCTTAGGCTTTCAACTAAGAGGTCTTGGGTTCGAGTCTTTGTGTATGTGTTGTGAGTGTGAGTTTGCCTTAAATGGCCTAAATGTACCAAAAAAAAAAAAAACCTGCAAAAGAAGCCGCTTCAATAAGGCGGACATGTGGCAACAACCCGGCACGCAGGATACACAGACATCCATTGGAAATTTACATACATATCACTTTATAACATCATATTTATATATTTAACACCTAAAACTTTAATATTAGATGCATACCACCCTATATTATTTTAATATCAAATATACCACTTATATTTCTTTCCTACCACTCATATTTTGTATGAAAATGAACTATGAGTGATATGTATGTAATATTAAAGTTTTATATGTTAAATATGTAAATAGAATAGTATTAAGTGGCATGTATGTAAATCTCCCTCCCATTGTAAATCTTCTGAAAAACATAGGCAGATAGATATCTCTTTATAAAATAATGTGCATCATCTTGTATAATGGATAAATTATTTTGTGAAGTATCTATACGAAAAAAAAATGTTGAAATATATATATATATATATATTTAAGAACTATTTTACTAGAAATCTACTTTAAAAAGTAACAAAAAAGTTGTCCAAACGAAATCTTAAGAGTTTATTTAGTTAGGTTGCAAAGTGATTGTAAAATTATCTCATGAAAATAAATTTTTTAAAATATGTTATAAAAAATACCTCCTCATATAATAATTTGTTTTAATGTTTTCTAAAACAAGTTTTTAGTATAAAAAAATTGTATTCCAGAAAATTTTATGCTAGAAATCTTTTTTAAAAAGCAATAAGAAAGCCGTCCCAAATGAAGCCTAAATCTTCAATCAAAAAAATTTGAATAAGAAACATAAAATATCAAATATGCTATGTTTATTAATTTATAATTGAATTTTATTAAAAGTTTTTTTTAATGCATTATAAAATTTTTAGTTGATCTCATATTTTATACATTCGATATGTGTCAATGAATGAATAGGTTTATACATAATACATCAACCACATTTCCAGTTGAACACATACATCCAACATATTAGATGTGCATACCATTGAATAGATAGATTTAAATATTAAATATCTAATTAGGCATATCATATTTTAATTTCTCCACATGCATGCGTTATAAGCCCATACCTCACCTAGCAACTTTTTTTAATTTTATGCGATTCATTCGTTATTTTTTTTTTTTAATTTTTTATGACAGAATATTTATTAAATATAAGAAAAAAATTATTCATTTTTTTTTATCATCGAATGTTATGACTTATTACATCCTTATAAGTTTAGAATATATTTATATATCAATCTTACAATATTATGTCAAATGCGTATCTTATATTTTTTGCATAATATTTATAACATATAAAAGAAGTTTTTATTTTTCTTTCTTCTTCAAATATTATAATTTTTTACACTTTCTTATAATATTAAAATTTTATAATTAATTTAATATATTACTTAGTTTATATAATTATTATATAATATTTTAATATTTGAAATATGCAAATTCGAATATGATTTTAAAAATATATTTATATCTTATTTTTTAATAAAAGTATCTTATGTCATTTCATATCATATCATTACCTTAGTAAGGGGCAAATTAATTATAAATAAAATAAACATCAGTTTATTCATTCATCATAAGAATACTATCAACCTAAATTATCCAAATTTGTATTTACACAAATTACTCATTTATCATAAATCAACTACATCAAATTTGATTGATTAAATTTTCACATGTAGACATTATTTCATCCTCCATTAGAAATTTAGGTTCAAATATAATCTCTCCTTAATTTTACTCTCAAATTTCAATGATTTATAATTAGTTTAGATTCTTTAATATGTTAATTATACATATATATCTAAACTCAACAAAAGAAATAATAGATTTAGACTTTGTTTTGGTTTTTTTTTTCTTTCAAAATCAACTTTTTAGCATAAAAATTTTATTTTATTAAAAAAAAAAACAGTAAGATTGTCCCAAACCAAGTGTTAAATTATTAATTACTTAAAATTAATCATGCTATGCATCTAATAAATAAAAAAATAACAATTCATGAACTACAATTTGTTCAAGCAGATCAACTTCAAGCATACACGATTCTTGCCTTGGTGTATTTTTCATAGGATTTATACCCTATATATGTTATTGAGTTTTCGTTAGGAACTATCATTAGTGTAACTATCTTAACAGAATGCTTATACTGTACTACACTACTCAATTATCTAAAAAGTCTCAAATATTATTTTTGATGAATTATAACTTAGTTCATTATAAAACTCTTATTTAAGACGTTTAATGAAGCAAATGATGATATCAAAATAGTTTAAAAACAAATCATGCACAACTGCATTCAAATTTGGAAGAAAATTATGAAAGATTCATTTAAAGAAAGATGGTTGATTTTAATTCAGATTTGAGAGGAAAATATAAAGGTTTATATTAGCATATTAGTGTTAATTGAGTTGTTTTATCTTAATGATGTGAATTGTATTTTGCAGTTTTTTTTTTAGTTGTTCCTAGCATCACCTAGGATTTGTGGAGTCTGATTTATCTCTCGAATGGTAAATCAATTTGTATCGTGACTTGTTTTGATGTAATAAATTTTTTTTCTCGTTGATTTCTACTATGTGAGGAGATCGGATTCCTATCACAATTGCTCAAAAACTAATGCTTAATGTGATGCTTTCAATGAAAATAAAAACACACATGTTAATCAAGATGTGTCTACATTGGTATTTTACAATCTAATCATAATTGTTTTTTATTCTCAAACAAGTTTGTATGGGTTTACTAGAACATAAATCACAACGAACCAAGCATCTATAGAATTGAAGCACGAGTGCAAAGATTATTAACCAAAACATAAATGCTAGTGGGCTTAAGATATCCGATTATTAAATTTTAAATACATGGATATATGCATACATATATTTATGGGAGTACTCACATCAATCCCTATGTGAGGCCACTATTAGTTATTGTGTAGATTGGAGCTCATTAGCAATAGTGGTCTCACACAGTGATTGATGTGATCACTTAAATACACACAAAAATTCAAAAGCAAAAAAAAAAAAAGTTCATCGACTCCAATGAGAACTTGAGATGATATCTTAGTGATGCTAGCACAAACTGGCAAGCAATGATGAGCGATCGATAAAATTTGCATAACATTATCAACCTCGCATCAATATAACAAGGGTTGGAACCTATGATGCACCAATAAGAGGTATTTAGTTCAAGTCTTGTATATGCAATGTGTGCATGAATCTGCCTTAATTGACCTAAATGTCAAAAAAAAGTAGTTCTTGTCGATGGGGGCTCACACCATATCCCACGAGCTCACAGTGATCATGTGTAATAAAAGTTCACGCCAATGATTGTGAGCATGTTGGCATTGGCACAGGTTTGCAACAACGCATGCAATCTCATAAAAATTGGTGTAACCTCACACACTTACGAGCTCGGAGGCACCAACAAGCATTTGCTAACAATGGGGCAAACACAAACCACCCAAGCTGAAAATTGGAGCAAACAAGCATGTAAAAAAATTTGTAAATATAATGCTTTTTTTTACACATGTATCTACCCGCTACACTCCAAAGAAAAAGCTTGATTGCGTACTAATCTATCGACGAAATCTAACGAGACCACCTCACTTATTTTGCTCCAATGAAGAGACAAAGCCGTAATAGTGGGATTTGAATGTGAGAGTTTGACTGGGATTTCCAATCGTACTTGTTCATCAATCGCCATAAATTTCGATTGGTATAATGCTAAATTTAAATTGTGTACCTCAAAAAAGGACATAGGGCTTCGTACAAAATTTCCACTGAGCATTAATAGCTAAAACAGTAAGAGACAAAAATAGGAAACAGAATCATCATGAACTATATGCATTTAAAGTGAAGTCTATGCTGCAGATCTTCGGAGCAAAATCACAGCTAAATTATAAAAATTAACCTTCTATAAAATATGTCCTAAACTGGAAGTTCAGGAAACCTAATGAAGTTCAAATTCACTGGCAAATAGAAAGGGGTCTAAGAGGCGCATAGGTCTTGCCTTTATCTTCTGTTTTCGTCGTTGCTGTTCGGTTTCGTTGCTTCGCAGGAGGTGAAAAGATTGCATGCGTCGCTTCTTCGGCTCCTTCGTGGCTGTTCCACTTTGCTCCTTCGACGACTTTACCTTCCTGTCCGATCGGAAGTTCGGATATTTTGATCGGAAGCAACAACGGGAGCTCGCTGGCTGTAAAGATGTCTGATCTGGCTGCTTCAGTCATGTTTCTGCCCTCGCAAACAGTGGGTAGCGTTCTTTGCTGCATCTGCGGCGTCTCCATGCCGCCCAATCCAGCGAATATGTGCGTCCGCTGCCTGTGTTCCCGGGTAGACATCACCGAAGGCCTCCCACGCCACGCTTCGATCGTCTACTGCCCAGAGTGCCGCAGCTACCTGCAACCGCCGCGCGCCTGGATCCGGGCTGATCTGGAATCGAAGGAGCTCCTCACCTTCTGCCTACGCCGCCTCAAGCCACTCACTCGCCATGTTCGCATCGTCAATGCTGAGTTCGTGTGGACCGAGCCCCACTCCAAGCGCATTAAGCTCCATCTCCGCATCCAGAGAGAGGCCCTCAATGGCGCCATTCTAGAACAATCTCACCTCATTGAATTCACCCAGCACGATAACCTCTGCGACTCATGTTCCCGCTTCCAAGCCAATCCCGACCAGTGGGTTGCCGCAGTTCAGCTTCGTCAGCACGTCTCTCACCGTCGCACCTTCTTTCATCTAGAGCAACTCATTCTTCGTCACGGTACAGCAGCACGGACTCTTCGCATCAAAGAGGCTGATCGAGGTGTCGATTTCTTCTTTGGAAATCGTAGCCATGCCATCAAGTTTGTTGATTTCATCTCTAGCGCAGTTCCTGTTCAGTCAAGGTCAGATAAGCAGCTAGTATCGCATGATCCCAAGAGCAACAGGTACAACTACAAGCACACCTTCTCTGTTGAGATATGCCCCATTTGCAGGGAAGATTTGATCTGCCTCCCGCCCAAGGTTGCAAACACTCTTGGTAATCTTGGTCCACTTGTGCTCTGCACCAAGGTGAGTAATAGCATTGTCCTATTGGACCCATTCACCCTAAGAAGTGCTTACCTTGATGCAAAGCAATATTGGGGGTCGCCTTTTAAGGCCTTGCTCTCAAATCGGCAGCTTGTTGAGTATATGATTTTGGATGTAGAGATGGAGTCCTCAGAGATTTCTGTTGGAGGATCGAAGTATGCATTGGCTTATGCGCAGGTGGCAAGGGTTTCTGATTTCGGAAAGAATGATAATATATTCACTGTGAGGACACATATTGGGCATCTTTTGAACCCAGGTGGCTATGCACTTGGATATGATCTTTATGGAGCCAATATTAATGACTTTGAGATTGATAAGTATAGAGGCCTTGATTTACCTCATGCAATTCTTGTAAAGAAGAGCTATGAAGAGAAGCGGCAGAAGAGGCGTGGAAAGGTTCGTTCTTGGAAGCTGAAAAGCTTGAACATGGAGATTGACAACACCAAAGGGAGAATGGATGAGGAGAAGAGGGTCAATGATTATGAGGAGTTCTTGAGGGACTTAGAGGAGAACCCAGAATTGAGGTTTAACATGTCGCTCTATCACAACAATGATTATCAGCCATCAGAAATGGCATCTACTGTTGGTGGAGATGAGCTTCCTTCTGTGCCATTAGATGACTTGATTGCTGAACTTGCAATCAGTGATGAAGAAGAGAGCAATTGTGGAAGCATGACTGAGTAACTTGTTTTTGCATCTTGAAGTCTTAACCTTAGTCCTTGTGCTAAGTTTTAATCATTTTTGTTTGTTATAATTATTGTTTGCTGCGAAAATTGAAACTTGGTTGTTATTTGTTGAATTTCCATTGAGCGTTGATGTTTCCCATTAAGGTCTGAGCTATAGTTTCTTAAAGTTATTGATTCCTTGCACAGGGGGACTGCATGGTAAAAAAAAAAGAAAAGAGAAAGTGGTCTAAGCAAGTAAGAAAAACTATCAGCATGAAAATTCATGCAACAAAGAATGTCAATATTAATCATTACTATTCCTGCTTCTGGAAAAGCTAGGAAGCGAATTCTTATTTAACATTTTGCCGAGCTTAATTTGGGTACAAACCAATTCCTAACACGCTAAGAATGAATGAATAAAAATACAAGACTACTTTTAAGCAAAATCAAAAGCACCGTCAATCTACGAGAAATTATTCTGTGCGGATGTTGAATGCCATCCAGAGACCAATCAGAATAACCACATCACCCCCTGCTCAATACAGTTCGGTATCGTGGCTCGATAGCGCTTGATATCCAGCTTGATATTACTGATATGACTCATTCTGATTGGTCTCCGGACGATAAATTGTGTTCGGCGTCTACACAAAATAATTTCTCCAAGCTACTAGGCTACCTCCATCCCTTACTGAGCTAATCTGCTCTAGATTGTCCGGCCCTAGAGGACAATGATGCCAACAATTAAGCCATAAAGTGCTAAAGCCTCAGCAGAGATGAGCATTAGGATCATTCCAACAAACAGCTTGAATGATAATATATTCACTGTGAGGACACATATTGGGCATCTTTTGAACCCAGGTGGCTATGCACTTGGATATGATCTTTATGGAGCCAGTATTAATGATTTTGAGATTGATAAGTATAGAGGCCTTGATTTACCTCATGTAATTCTTGTAAAGAAGAGCTATGAAGAGAAGCGGCAAAAGAGGCGTGGAAAGGGTCGTTCTTGGAAGCTGAAGAGCTTGAACATGGAGATTGACAACACCAAAGGGAGAATGGATGAGGAGAAGAGGGTCAATGATTATGAGGAGTTCTTGAGGGACCTAGAGGAGAACCCAGAATTGAGGTTTAACATGTCGCTCTATCACAACAATGATTATCAGCCATCAGAAATGGCATCTACTGTTGGTGGAGATGAGCTTCCTTCTGTGCCATTAGATGAGTTGATTGCTGAACTTGCAATCAGTGATGAAGAAGAGAGCAATTGTGGTAGCATGGCTGAGTAACTTGTTTCTCCATCTTAAAGTCTTATTCTTAGTCGTTGTAGTAAGTTTTAATTATTTTTGTTAAGTGTGAAAATTATTGTTTGCTGGGAAAATTAAAACTTGGTTGTTATCTGTTGAATTTCCATTGATCGTTGATGTTTCCCATTAAGGTTTGAGCTATAGTTTCTTAATGTTATTGATTCCTTGCACAGGGGACTGCATGGTAAAAAAAAAAAAAGAGAAAGTGGTCTAAGCAAGTAAGAAAAACTATCAGCATGAAAATTCATGTAACAAAGAATGTCAATATTAATCATTACAATTCCTGCTTCTGGAAAAGCCAGGAAGCGAATCTAATTTAACATTTTGCTGAGCTTAATTTGGGTACAAACCAATTCCTATCACGCTAAGAATGAACGATGAATAAAAATACAAGACTACTTTTAAGCAAAATCAAAAGCACCGTCAAGCTACGAGAAATTATTCTGTGAGGATGCCAAATGCCGTCCAGAGACCAATTAGAATGCACCACGTCATTCCCTACTCAGTACCGCTCGATTCCCAGCTCAATACTACTGATGTGACGCATTCTGATTGATCAGTGGATGATAAACTGTGTTCGACATCTGCACAGAATAATTTCTCCAAACTACTAGGTTCCCTCCATCCCTTCCTGAACTAATCTACTCTAGATTGTCCGGCCCTAGAGGATAGAATGAGGCCAACAATTAAGCCATAAAGTGCTAAAGCCTCAGCAGAGATGAGCATTAGGATCATTCCAACAAACAGCTTGGGCTGTTGTGCATTTGCTCTGCAAATATTAACAAAATCATACATCAATGAGTCCAAACAGTTGGGATAAAGTAGATGATTGATGATGAATTTATTGGTCTGTTGTGTATTAGCTCTACAAATTTAATCACTCTCATTTACAAATACAATAGGCCTTCAAATCAAATAAGCCAAATAATCGGAGTAAATCATAGCACTCATTATACCTCATAAATCAAAACGAAAACTTCAATTGAAAATTTCAAAAAGTGTGCAGACAAAAGAATAGAAAATGTCCTTTGCCACATTAGTTGGTCAAATATTTTTTGTTGCATGCGAAGCAAAAGAGCTGCATATTGGCCTAATTTCTTTGCTATGTTTTGTGAATTATATAAACAAAAAGATTCTTAGACGTAATCTGCTTCTTTTATTTCACCATGATTTCATTAGGATTTGATAATTATGTTATCATTCAATGTCATTTCAAAGAGTATTTGTTTGCCATTTACTTTCATGTTGACAAGTACTCAATTATTAAACCTAAGGGCTATTAGTACATAACAAGCTTTTATCCCACTGTGGTGTCGGCTAAATGAATCCTTTTTCTCCATTGTGTCTTGTTAAGAGTCAAATTCTTATCTAAATCTAATAAAGAAATGTCATTTCTAATTTTTCTAATCAAGTTTTTTCTACATTTACCTTTCTTAATATTGTTGTTGCCAGGTCCGAAGTCCTTGATGAGAAAAATGAAGGATTTGATTAGGTAGTCGACAGCTAGCATAAAACTTGTCAAATAATCATGACATGAATCTTTTAATACATTTTATAATGAATAATTGAATAATTTAAAATTGATAATTGTATTGGTCATTTTTCTCTCTCTATTTGAATGAATTAAAATTGATTAGTGTATTAGACATTTTCCTGTTCTCAAACTCTCCTGTCAATCATTCCCTCAATATATCCCTCTCAATCTCTCCCTCCCCTTACCCAAGACCTTCCACTCTCCTCACCTCCACAAATTGCCTTATCATCTCACGAAGACAATACAAAGAAGCATACATAATGAAGCTACAATAAGAAGTGTGATGATCCAAATTAACTCAATTCATTAATGGGCTTGTGAACTGAGCTTAGGAAATCTTAGGCTTCATTTGGGACGGTTTTTTTATTGCTTTCTAAAACAGAGTTTTAGTACAAAAATAAAAAAAAAATTGTATTAAAACTCCGTTTTAGAAATCAATAGAAAAGCCGTCCCAAATGAACCCTTATTCTTCTCTAAGCGCAATGATCTATTTTATTATGGACTGAGTTAATTGGATAAGCAAATATCTATATATTAAAACCTAAATTAAACGTATAGATAAACATAAAAAATAAAATTAAATCCTATTGTAATCAACCAATAGTCATTGCTTTTTTTTTTGTGTGTGAGCAAAAGTAAATGCAAAATAAACTACTAAAAATTTAAAAATACCTCAAAAGTTCAATTTCGCGTGACAAAAAAAAAAAAAAATCAACAGAATCACGTGAATTTCTTTTTTTCTCAATTTTGCACATTTGCTTGCTTTTTTTTTGCGTTTTCAAAGAAAACGTGATCATGCAGTGCGTTTTTGCTCCTTTTTAAATTAAAATTATATTCTGCTCCTTCTCTTAAATCTATCTTGAAACTTGATCCTTTTAAAAATTTGCCCAACCATTTTTACCTTACCCTGCCTATCACAACTCCTCTCACTGCTTGGATCTCATTGGTCATCGTTATGACGTTAGCACTCTCATTGATTCTCCCCACTAGATCAATGTTTGTGTTGTGGTATTATAAATGCATTTAACTGCACAAAATAAATCATCTTATTGGATTTATATTATATCCAACCAAATATCTTGAAAATAACTCAATGTATATATTTTACACTACATTATTGAAAATGTATGCTACCAAACAAACCCTTAAACAAATTATTTTCTCCCCTCTTTCCGCTCGTTTTTAGAGGAACAAAATCTTTTATATATTTCCCGTCACTTAATTTATTTGCTTCTCATTTAAACTATCAATCAAAAGAAAGCGTTCATGAAAAGATAATGTTTTAAATAGGGGAATGTAGACACCACATTATCTATAAGAAATTTAGAGATGATATGATTTGTGACTTAGAATATGTATATGAATTTCTATTTGGATCCATGAAAGAATCCCTATGTTATGATTTGTGGTCTATTTGTTGTTTGCTGCAGGTGTAGGGTGTGGTTTATTTGTTATTTGTTGCAGGTGTAGTACTGTAGGGTGAACGGCAAGGTTTCACAATTTTTTTAAAAAAATTCTGGATATTAGTGGCGGTTATAACCACCACTAGATCCCAGAAAACCGCCGCGAATCGATTATCAGGTCGATTTCGCTAGCCTTTATCGCGGTTAAAACCGCCATAATTCTGTTATTTGCAGCGGTTAACACCGCCGCAAAAAAATGCTAGAAATAAACGCTACCCCGCCGGTCTTCAAACCGCTGCGGAAGGCCGTTGCAGCGGATGGCAAAAACAGCGGTTCGCCGACCGCTGCAAATTTCATTGTAGCTGGTTTAACCGCCGGGAAAAGTGAAATTTTATGCTGCGAAAACCCTATTTTTTGGTAGTGATATTGATTCTCCCCACTAGATCAATGTTTGTGTTGTGGTATTATAAATGCATTCAACTGCCCAAAATAAATCATCTCATTGGATTTATATTATATCCAACAAAATACTTTGAAAATAACTCAATGTATAAGTTTTACACTACATTATGAAATATATGTACTTAAAATATCAGATATTTTTAAAGTAGTGAAAAAAAAAATGTACTTAAAATATATGCTACCAAACAAATCCTTAAACAAATTATATTATCCCCTCTTTTCGCTCGTTTTGAGAGGAACAAAATCCTTTATATAGAGTAAAGTTTTACCATGACTTCATTTATTTGCTTCTCATTTAAACTACCAATCAACAGAAAGCATATACTTCCTCTATAATTTTTTTTTTCTTTTCTCTACAAATTCTAACTCCTAAGTAATGATATGAAAGGCGAAGGCGTCAGGCAAGACGATAAATTTGTTACAAGTTGGAGTGTTAGCCCGATAAATGTTATATTTTTTATTATTTCATAAATAAAACAAATGATTAAAAAATAAATATACGCAAAGAAAACTTAAATAAATTATAAACTTAAATCCCTCATCATATGATTCAAATTTCAACTCCAAAACCTAAAAATCTAAAATAAATAAAATAAAATAAAATAATTAAAATATGGTCAAATTGCACCCCAAAATAAAATAAAATGAGAAGTGTGTAGGCATAAGAATTCCATAAGATGACCTTGAGGGACAAGTCAATAAGGAAAACAGAAAAGCGCTCAACAAAATGTTTCGATATATTGAGTAAACGTTCCATTAGCAGAACTCCAACCCTGACTACCATGAGAAAAGTTTAGTAACTCAAGGCGAGTCTTAGGGAAGCTCTAAAAACTCCTATTACCAAAGTGTACCATAAAGGAGTTGCTTGGATGCAAGACTTACCAAGATTTAGCTAGAATTTAGCCTAAATATTGTCAATAAATATTTTTGGGACATTAAAACATACAATCCTTTTAATATTATTTTCTCTATGTTATTTGGTAAATCCAAGATATAGTAAATCTGAGGAGAACTAGGATTTAGTAAATCCTAGATGATTTATCTATGGTTTCTTCGGCTTTGTTTGGGACAACTTTCTTGTTATTTCTTAAAGCAACTTTTCAGTATAAAAATTAAAAATTTTATACTGAAAAGCTGCTTTAAGAAGCAGTAAAAAATCGTTCCAAACAAAACCTTCTTCTCACTTGTTCACTCTCAATTCCAAAATGTTAGATTCCTATCTACTCTTCCTTCATATCATACTACATAATTTTAATAATATGATAATTAATAATTATGATCCATTAATTAATTCAATTACTTTTTGAAGAAAGTCTTTAATAAAACTAAATAAGTCATTATAACTATCTGATTATTATTACACAACTCTCCTTGGCCTATTGGTTGAGAGCTTAGGCTTCCAACTAAGAGGTCCAAGGTTCGAGTCTATGTGTATGTGTTGTGTGTGTGAGTTTGCCTTAATTGACCTAAATGTCCCAAAAAAAAAAAGCTATCTGATTATTAATGCTAAATATTATAAATTTTTAAATTACATATTAATAAACTTCAGTGCTGAAATCAGATCATAAACTTAATTCAAATCTTAAATTCTAAAAACAATAGCAAAACAATTATAAAGATCTAGCCAGATTTATTATTTGCCATGCCAAATAATTTTAAGCACTTAATAGTTAATATCCCAAGGATTTACAAAATGAAAATTTATAGGATTTACCATGTTCTAAGTAAATTAAATCCTATCTGTAATCACACATCTAAATTTGGCAACTTTATAATTTAACAGAAGTTAAAATATATTATGTGGTTGTTGCTTTGCTAGAAGTGGAGCATTAAAGGTGAGCTCCGAGCGCTCAACGAAATGTTTTGATACATTGAGTAAACGTTCCATTGGTAGAACTCCAACCCTGACTGCCTTGAGAAAATTTTAGTTAGTTAGACAAAATTAAAATATAATAATAATAATAATAATGACGTCAAATTATAACAGTAATAATATACATATATATATATTTTTTATAAAAAAATAGCTAACATAATGCTATCAAATTTAAAAGAGAAATTTTTTATCATTTATCTTCCAATTTAATATTGATTTTAGTAATAATATAAGTTGTAGTAAAAAAAAAACTATTGCTTCATTGTTTTGACTTCCAAAATGATTTTCAAAGTTTGAGTGCAATAATTTCTTCTGATTTGCTATTCACAATGAAATTAAACCTACTGAAAATGAAATTAAATAAAAATTTGATCACTTGTTTGGCTGAGGAGAATCTAAAAATTGAAGATTAAAGCAACCAAAATACTTCGGATAGATGAGCAAACAATTTGAGATGGATCATATTAGGGCAAAAATTTATTTTTGATGGGGGCATAATTCCAAAATTATGCCTCTTTTATATTAATTTTTTTTTAGGGTCAGCATTTGCTCACCCTCATCTAAGTGGGGATCCCCCATGCCAAAGTTTACCATAAAAGGGGTTGCTTAGATGCAAGATTTAGCTAGAATTTGGCCTAAATATTGTCAATAAGTTTTTTTGGGACATTAAAATCTACAATCCTTTTAATATTGTTTTCTCTATGTTATTTGGTGAATCCAAGATATAGTAAATCTTAAAAGAACTAGGATTTAGTAAATCCTACATGATTTATCTATGGATTTAGTAAATCCTACATGATTTATCTATGGTTTCTTCTTCTCACTTGCTCGCTCTCAATTCCAAAAAGTTAGATTCCTATCTACTCTTCCTTCATATCATACTACATAATTTTAATAATATGATAATTAATAATTATGATCCATTAATTAATTCAATTATCTTTTGGAGAAAGTCTTTAATAATAAAACTAAATAAGTCATTTTAACTATCTGATTATTCATGCTAAATATGATAAATTTTTAAATTACATATTAATAAACTTCAGTGACTCAAATCAGATCGCAAACTTAATTTAAATCTTAAATTCTGAAAACAATAGCAAAACAATTATAAAGATCTAGCCAGATTTATTATTTTCCATGCCAAATAATTTTAAGCACTTAATAGTTAATATCCCAAGGATTTACAAAATGAAAATTTATAGGATTTACCATGTTCTAAGTAAATTAAATCCTATCTGTAATCACACATCTAAAAAAATTAAGAACTCAAGATTTCAAGCATTGCCGAATCAGAGCATAGCGAGGTAAATCAAGAACAACAAAAAAAAAGTATGGTATAACCTGACACCCCGCGCGTCACCGACGATCCCAGTAGCCATGCCGGCAGAGAGCCCCGCGAGGCCACAAGCCAAACCGGATGATAGATGTGCGTAGCCATCAAAGAGGTTTCGGGTTTATGCCCGTGCTGCTGACAGCGATGATGAGCCATATATACCCAGCACTCCAGCCATCACCATCGGTACGATCGACTTCATCACGAGCTCCGGCCTCATCAGGCCCATGGAGGCCACACCCACACCACTCTTCGCCGTACGTCCCGTATGCTGCCCCCATGCCTGCGAAGAAAGAGAGAGATAGAGATCAGTCGAAGATCTCAAAATCATATCATTTATCGAGAAAATGAAAGGGAAGGTGTGGATAACAGGAGAAAACGAGGGCAGCGGCGGCGCCGAGGAAGCCAAAGAAGGGCGCGGTTTCGTCGCCGCAGAATCCGGCCATATCGATTGTTGAGACGGCAATCGGATATCGAAAGATTGAATATTCCGTTAGCTCTCTCGTTTTCTCGTCTCCGAATTGCCGACTGTGAGGGAACTAAATGATAGGTCCGTTGATTCCGATGTTTTTTCCCCAGCTTGGGCAAAAATCATCAGCTTGTCTGGTTACTCGAGGGAGAAACAATGAAACATAAGAGTATGAAGCGTATTATATTTAGGATAAATAATATTTAACGAAAATCACACAAGTCGTTGTAGTATAGTGGTGAGTATTCCCGCCTGTCACGCGGGTGACCCGGGTTCGATCCCCGGCAACGGCGTTTTTAAAATTTTGGCATTTGGCATAAGCATCTGTACCCTTATAATACTTTTATTTATTAATAAATTGTGTATCGTTTTCTATCAAAGTTTAGGACGATTCATATTTTTTTCACCACTTTAAGAATATGCTTAAATGTCACATTAATGTATTGTAACTGTTTGGTAAATTAAACTGATTTCATTAATTATTATGCAATAAAATCATTTTTTTTTGTTTTATTTTAAATTTACAGTAAAAATGTTAAATTAGGAGTAAAATGCTTTAAGAAGAATGAAAAAAATTGAAATGAATTAGTTGATATATAAATTAAACATATACCAATAATTTATATTTCAAAAAATATTTATTTTAACATAGATTTTTTTCTTAATACTTTATCAAGCTAATTTAATATTTAAATATGATCAATTTTATTCGAAATAATATTTGATTTACATTTAAAATAACTCATATAAAATTCCAACTCAACATCGACCAAATAAAACGTTAAAAAAAAACTCTTATAACTCCCTAACTCCATTAAATAATCTTAATTTTAGTAACAGTAAATTAGCTCTTTAATAAACTACAGTGGTAACAGACCACTTAAATAAATAGCCATTAATTTATGCTCCTTATAAATTTAAAAACTCATCACAAATCTCTCCAAACAACACCATGAAAATCTTCAATATTGCTCCTCTCCTCCTCCCCCTTCTTCTCCTACTGATCCCCTCCTTCATCGCCGACGCTGCCCGCGCTCGCGGCGGCGGGCATATAAATGTGATCGATCGATGCTGGCGGAGGGACCCTTTATGGTCTAAGAACCGGCAACGGCTGGCGGCTTGCTCGGTCGGATTTGTTGGGAAGATGAGGAATAACCGAGGGTTAGGGTTGAGATTGTATGTGGTAACGGATGCAAGCGACGATCCGGTGAAGCCGAGGCCCGGTACGTTAAGGTATGGGACGAGTATGATACAGGGAAAGGTGTGGATTACATTTGCAAGAGATATGCAAATTAAGCTCGAGCGGCCGTTGCTTATTGGGAGCTATGTAACGGTGGATGGGCGTGGAGTGGATGTTCATATTGCAGGGGGTGCGGGATTTTTGCTCAATCAGGTACTGGTAATTTTTGCTTGAATGTTTTGATTATCATATTTGAAAACAAAAATAAATCGAGCTAATCAGTAAAATTAAAAATAAACAGAAACTAAAATATTAGTTTATGTGTTATAGTGATAATTTTGCGGTTTGGAGTTAGAAAATAATTAATAAAATATTATTTGATTTCTTTGGGCTGAATTTTAAATTTAATTAAATTTAGCGTTACACATAATAAATTAATGTTATGAGTTATCAATTTAAAGTTAACTTCTTATTTTGATTGATAATCAATATACATTAAATTGGGGTATGCAAATTTAATAGAATTTTATTCATATAATCTTTAGCTCATATGAGCTCGATTCATCTAATAATTATTAAAAAAAAAGTTAAGTTCGTTGGATAAAATGTTTTTTTTTTTATTTGTATGATATAAATTTTGGATACTTTTTATAAAGATGGTTGTAAATCTATTGTACTGAAATTACTTTTTTTAAAAGCTATTGTAGAAATCACCTTCGTAGCACAAAAATTTCTTGAAAATAGTAAAAAAATGGTCAGACAAAAAATTATCTTTATGAGCTCGATTCATCTAATAATTATTAAAAAAAAAGTTAAGTTCGTTGGATAAAATGTTTTTTTTTTATTTGTATGATATAAATTTTGGATACTTTTTATAAAGATGGTTGTAAATCTATTGTACTCAAATTACTTTTTTTAAAAGCTATTGTAGAAATCACCTTCGTAGCACAAAAATTTCTTGAAAATAGTAAAAAAATGGTCAGACAAAAAATTATCTTTATGATCCAAAAGCAAAATAGTTAGAAAGATGTCTCAAATGAAGACTGCTATGTTTATGTACATGTAACTACGGTAGACTATAGTGGTATTGAGCTAATTTGGTCTTAGCTTCCAAAACCTCTGAAGGCCAAGTGACTGTAACTCCAATCAACTAAGGCTTCCCTAGTTCCCTTGGGATGACTTTCTTACTATTTTTTAATTTTTATACTAAAAGTTGCTTCAAAAAGTAGTAAGAAAATCATCTCAAATGAAGCCCAAATGAGAATACTAAAAAAATATTCTTACAAATTCATATAACAACATGAGAAAATATCATATAAATTAAAAAAAATTGTTTTTCTTTGTATGAAAATAATTTGGCTGAACCAATAGGCACACGATGTTATTATTCACGGACTACAATTCCATCATATTCGTGCGGCGGCGCCTGGGCCGGTGGTCGGACCTGGTGGCAAGGTGACCAATATGTGGGGGAGCGATGGGGATGCCATTCGACTCGTCTCTTCTTCCAAAATTTGGATCGACCACAATACCCTTTACGCCGGCGAGGACGGCCTCCTTGATGTCACGCGCGGATCCAACGGCATCACCATCTCCAACAACTGGTTCCATGATCATGACAAGGTGATGCTCCTCGGCCATGACGATGGCTTCGTTGAGGACCGCAACATGCATGTCACTGTCGTCTTCAACCGCTTTGGCCCTAACTGCAACCAACGCATGCCCAGGTTATCAAATTCTTGACTTGTTAAAAAATATGTTGCAATTGTTGTTTGTCAACTTTCTTTGATTTGTGTTGGGATTAATGTGCATATGAAATCAAAGGATTATACTAATCTCAACATAAATACTAAGGGCATTTCCAACCGAAAAATTCATTTTACACTCTAAAATGTAGTAAAACTTCAAAATGTTGTAATTATCTCCAATTGAACTGCATTTCCTAAGAACATTACAAGGAAAATTGTCAATTACCGGCGACTTATTCCTGCGGTGAAAATAAATTTTCTGGCGGTTCTGAAAAATACTGGCGGTCTGTTAACCGCTAGTATAAACCGTGTAGGAAATAAATTGCGGTAGTCATTTACCGGCGGCCAGATAGCCGGTTAAACCGCTAGTAATTCCAGCGGTTCTTTGACCGCCGGAATTACCGCTGGTAATTGTTGATTTTCCTGCGTTGGAAGCTGGTAACAATCTCTTTCCTTTTTCGTGCTCGTCTTCGGCAAATTTGGCAATCCAATTTTTTAGCGTATTGACGTCGGACTGTTTACCTACCGAATCTTGGCGTGAGAATTGGATTTTGAGTGCAGTGAATGGCGGATTGCTTGCGGTGGTATGCAATTCAGTTGGAGATGATCTAACCAGTATGAAGCTTATAGATCCATATGCAATTTGCATCAGGAAATCCTTACACAGTTTTTTTTTTTTTACCACTTGATTATTTCAGTAGTTCCAGATTTTGTTAGATATAGATTTGAGGTTATATACTTATAAAAGTTTTTGCGTAATACATATAGGTTGATTAGATAAAACTACACAACTTTGATGGACCGTACATCTCAATATATAGATTTTATAACATGTATTGAATGTGAATATGGGATCATTCTAATATGCAGGATAAGGCATGGATATGCTCATGTAGCGAACAACTTGTATGACGGGTGGAAGCATTACGCCATTGGCGGAAGCATGAACCCCAGGGTTAAAAGCGAGGCTAATTTCTTTATTGCTCCACCAAATAATAACAAAGCGGTGAGCTAATGATCTAATTGGATTCATTTCTTGTTTATAGACATTTGATTTCATAAAAATGCTATCAATATAATTCCTCATTGGATTTTCATTAGAAGTATCTCATAAAGCATGAATTGAACATCTATTTTACTAATATTTTAAGCATTTGTAGAAACAAATTAATGCTATCAATTTAAACAATAGTATCTTTTGTAAGAACATTTTTGCACATATGATAGCATAATATGCACCCAAGTTAGAGATTTAGGCTTCGTTTGGGACGGTTTTGTTATTGCTTCTTAAAGCAGCTTTCTAGTACAAAATTTTTAATTTTTTACTAAAATCTGCTTTAAGAAGCAGTAACAAAGCCGTCCCAAACGAAGGCTAAGGCTTCGTTGAGACAGTTTTTTTTCTGCTTCTTAAAGCAGCTTCCTAGTAAAAAAATTTTATTTTTTTACTAAAAATTTGCTTTAAGAAACAATAAAAAAGTCATCCCAAACAAAACTTTAATTTTTAAAAAAAGTTTTCTTGCATTAGATGGCAATATCCAAATCTTGATAAGAGGCTTATTCCTAAAAGTATACTTAAAAATGTCCAGAAAGTAGCTTCTATTATCAACTTTCACACAAAAGATGAATCTTATGAGGAATTCCTCATTGAATTTTTCTCCAAAATCATATTGCATAGAATAGTTACAGCTCATTCAGCTAGAAAAAAAAAAGGAAATTTGAGATAACAAGTGACAATCGATGTTTTTCTTACAGGTTACTTGGAGAGTGAGTGGCGGGGAAAGGTGGAGCTGGAAATCAGTGAATGATATCTTCGTCAATGGAGCCTTCTTCGGCGAGACAGATCACAAAGGTCTTGAGCCGGGCTATAATCTTAGGCAGCGTTTCGCTGTGGGGAAAGCTAGCTCTGTGAGATCACTAACTAAATTCGCCGGAGCATTGCGCTGCTCGTTGAGATCTCGGTGCTAATACTTCTTGCTTGTTTGAAAGTTCATCAATATACTGACATATGAGATATATGAGACCAAAGTATGTGAATTGTTAAAAGCAAATTGATTTTCTGTCAATACTTATATTATTATATATTTTTTCAATTTTTGTATTGTTCTGTAGAAAATCATATACTTATCTTATTATGAGAAATACATGTTATAGATTTTTGTTTAAATTATTAAATTGTGTTGTTCCGAAATCCGGTGGATCTCTTAAATGCTAAACAATAACCATCATTTCTATATTATTTTGATCTACTTCACCGGGCTTAGCTAGTTTGGTGGGTGAGCATGGTTGGGAACTCGCCAACCCATATTCGAATCCCCTTTTATGCCGCGCAACCCCTTAAGTGGGGAGAAAATAAATGCGAGTCCTGCATCTGTGGAGCTGGTTGCTGGTAGGCTCGCTGAGGGATTAATTACCTCACCATGCGCCTCCTAAAGAGGGTGGTAGCGGGTAGATACCCCCATTTCCAAAAAAAAAAAAAAAAAACTTATCTAGATCTTTAGCAGAAGTGCACTTAAGTTACAACTAAATTATGTGATCTTGGTTGTCAAATACAGACATGCTTCAAATGAGCTTCGAAATTTATTCTATTATGAGTCAAACATGTATCGATCAAAGTTAAAAAAAAAAGAAAAAAAAAAAGCCTTCAGCAATATTCGAAGATGGTAATATCACTTTTAATATCCTTAAAAAATTGGGTTTGTGGTGTGTGTCATCTGTCACTAACTGAAGAAACGATATCGCATACATTTCTCAGACAAGATCAAGAAGAGATTTGGAAGCAGGAAAAATAGAAAGTAGAAAATGTAAAACTTGTATTCATGAAGAGATATTACAGGTATATATAAGTAGAGTAAAGAACTAGCAACCAATGAGCTAAAGCCACCTCATCTATTTACAAGACATAATACCAATAATTGTTTATTTATTTGGCTGTATATACTTTGACACTAACCTTCTACAACAAATCGCTAGATGGAGACATGAAAACCATAATATTTTATTAAAACTTTGTCTCATAACTATCACTTACTAATAAGAGGCCACAAAGGAAGGGGTTGAGAATAGGAAGGGTATGTTAATTTCTAGTTCAAAAAATATGTATATAAAATAGAGAGCCTCTTCGAATCGAATTTCGCGGGTATATAAATATTGATTGAATTTTGTTCTAAATCGTTTGATTCAACTTGATTGTGATGGATTTTTTTAAAAAGAGTTGTTTGCCGTTCAAAACGGGGATGTTTTGGTTCAAAATGAAGTTTATAAGCTTTTTAGTACACAAATTTTTAGCTTAAAAATTTTTTGTACAAAAAAAAAAACTTTATAAAGGAGTAAGAAAGCCGTCTCAAACGAAGCTTTATGCTTCATTTGAGATAGCTTTTAGCCACTATTTTTTGTTGCTTTAAAAAAATTGTATTGAAAATTTGGTTAAAAAAATAGTAAAAAAAGTATCTCATATAAAATTTGTTTTGTTAGATTATTGACATAACGAATAATATATGACAAAAGGCATTATCCAATATTCTTAATTTATTTTATTAAAGAAATGTGGAAGATTTACATCTCATTTAATATTAATTATCCTTATTTTTCATTATAACATGGCATCGTTATCAGGCATTCTATTGAGAATCACATAAATAAGCATTGTAAAAAACTCTAAACAGACTATCAATGAAAAGTTAAAGAAATGCAAAGATGGCACCAAGTCATGATACCCCTTATACCCGAGATGACATGTGATGCCCTAAGACCTAATAGAATGATTGGAAGTATAAATCTATAATTACCACTCAACCATGAACAAAACAACAAGAGCTACTAAAATCCAATTAACAAAAGCAGTTCAACATTTTTCGTTTGATCAAAAACATATATACAGTAATCTAGTTTACTTTCAATTTGTATTTCCAAAGAATAAAAGTTGGATTGCAAAATAATGCCTTAATAACTCAGACTCGAAAGATCTTGCTTATACACTTTCCTACTATGTTGGGCTTTATATTTTCCTAAAATGCCAGAAATATCATGAAATGAGTACAACCAGCTCAATAGACTTCTTCCCATAGCCCATCACAAATATCAATATTTAAATTAAAATATTAAATAGCAGTTTAATTAAAAATACAATGGCTTGTATAGAATGAATAAAGTACTAGCAGAGCATAGTTTTTTAGGGTTTTAGTGTACTTGTTTCTAAAATTATTACTTACACTTGTAGAGTCACTCTTATAGAAATTTCAGATACATCACATAATAATTGGTATTAGAGTTTCATTTGCACTTCACTCTCACATTTTATTAGGGTTGATATGAAAATTTAAAAATTACTAATATTCAGTTCAGAATATTACTTATACTTGATTCATTAAACTATTAACATGTGTAATACATGATTATAATGCACATGTTTCAATGTCTCTACTTAAAACTCCATGTTTATTTATGCCTCTCTTTAATCTCCCACACATGCCTACAACAACTGAGGCTAGAATTAGAACAGAATATTAAAAAATAACCTTTTATACCTGCTTTCAGCAAGTGGGGCCAGAATCTCTCTCTCATCCACACAAGATAAGGTTATAACAAAATATATAGGGCCCTTATATCATAACAGAGAGTGCATTTTTCACATATCAGATCTTCCCCAATTTAATGCTAAAAGTGCTTTGATACCACTTGAAAGTTCGTCAGGGATGTTAGGCCCT